CTCTCTCTCTCTCTCTCTCTCTCTCTCTCTCTCTCTCTCTCTCTCTCAAAGAAAAAAAATATATATATACCTTGAAAATAGATCAGCGGGAAAGACAAGTTCTAACTTTAGCATGAATGATCAGCCAAAACCCACACATTTACCTTTCACGCTATTGGGAACCTGTCCTGAAAGTGACTTTACAATTGGATTACATTGGATGCCTCTCACCTAAACCTTTCTATTCTCACCTGTTGCAGATTTGATCACATTTAGTATGGATTCATTGTGCAATACTTTCTCTGAACCAGAAAAACATGATTTATTGTTCAAATTTGCCCGAAGGCCAATTTTGTGAGAATTAACAGTAACGCAACTTTTAAATCTGTTTGTTGAGGTTTTGTGGGCTGGTAAAGAGCACTTGAAACCAAACTTAAGTCATTTATTAACTTTCCTTTCTATGGGATTACTCAAAAACCATCTTCATGTTATACCTGCGTGGACTGAAGTGTAGAAGTCCCTTCTGTCCTTCATGGACTCGTACTGTGTCCAGTGTACAAACTGCTTTGAACACCTCTACCAAATAGGGCTATCTAAAGGCATCTCCATTCATTCCGTGGTACCATTCATGATATATTGGATGTCTGTGACCCACACGCTGACTTTGAAGGCTCCCCTGATGTTCCCATCTCCTTATTTTTATGGAACTCCCACCTGTCTTTGTTAACCAGAAACTGTTAAATGATGCCGGTTTTCAACAATGAGGGTGTGTTTGAACCTGCACATAATGTCTAAGTTGTGCCGACTCAGCAGGGGCCTGCGGGGTTTTCTTAGTAACAACAGCACAAAGTGTACAAGAAGAAAATGGGCCATAGTGAGGGCAGCATGGAGGAAGAAGAACGTGAAAAGCACAGAAGCCGTTTCCCTGATTTATGACCAAGGGTATCGACATTGCCGCAGTACACCACTGCCAAGCTTCCATACATTAAATACAACCCATTTGAACCCCTCCTCTTTCTGTCTCTTTTTTATATAGCTCTCTTTAACCCTTATGGAATGTCAAACAGGACCTGTTTTTTTCTGTTGCTGTTTTGGCTCATGCTCCTCTCCAGTTTCTTTCCTTTTTTACCCTCCCCCCCTCGACACTTGCCCCTTTGTCTTTTTGCTCCTGGCAGTACACATACCATGACCAGCACACATGTGCACACGCACACACAACAAGCACAGAGATGAAGCGGAGCTAAGGGACCCCCCTCCCCTGACTGAGAACATATCCACCACAGCGCAGTTCCGTCACGTCGAAGTCCTTCTTTTGGCATTTGACTCTGCTTCCCGCACACAAAGGCACAGAACTCCAGCTGTCACCCTCTGGACAAAGACATCCCATCTGCTGAAGCTATAGGTAAGGGTTGAACAGCTATGTACTATAAATTGATCATGCCAGTCAAAGTACACAGTGTTCCCTCCTGTCTTGAACCATGTGAACTCACAGGGAAGCGTGGAATGGAATTCCCATTGAATCACCTTTCCAAAAAGTGGCTTTTGCTGTGTAACCAAAACTTTTTGAGAAATTCCATCCCCTTGTTTTTTACACACTTTTGTGTAAGTTGTATGTATTTTGGTACATACAACTTACTGGAGTTGTATGTATTTTGTACCTGTATCGAGGAGGAGGTGTAAAAGGCACTTTTTCTGTGTGCAATATTCTAATTAAGTTTAATGAAATGCTAATGTAATTTGCTTTGTGGAATATGAATAACCAAATAAGTTTATTTTAGGAGGCTACGGCGATAGTATGTGTAATTGGAAAAGGACCTGAATAATGCCAGAAATCTGGTAAATGGAATGTAAATGCATTCCAACTTTTCTGCTTCAAATATGAGTCTTTGTACACAGTGTCCTTTCAAATAGATTGTCCAATAATATTACAGTATTTGCATAATAATTCTCATTCAACATATTAAAAATAGTTTAATCATAAAGACCAGCATTGCTTTCAACATCAATATCCTATCACAGCAGGCAAGAACCTACCTAAATTTCCT